CTCAGCCATAAAAAATAACAAGACCCTGGAATTTGATAGAAAATGGTCAGATATGGAGGATCTATTGCTGAGTGAAGTAAGCCAGGCTATGAAAGAAAGATATTGTATGTATCCACTCAATATATACCGACTATCCGCACTCTATAATAGAGAGCAAAAATTCGGAGGACATAAACACAGTGAAGGTACTTAATGAGAATAGGACAGTGTGGAATGGGGTAAGTGAAGAGAAGAGGATAGAGAAAGATAGCAAGTGAACAATAGAGAGACAGGACGTTAGTGAGAAACAGATAGGGGTTATTAACTGTTGATGATGACATGTATAGTATTCTCAACTGGATTGGTCTGAGAAGTATTTCATGATGGGCAAAGTATTTTTACAAGCAAAACGAGAAATAACAATTGACTGTTTTATAAAAATAATTAGAATAATAAAAATAATGATTGGGGAAAACAGAAAAGATATGGAATGTTGAAGTGGGGAGATTAATGTCTCTGTACTGACTGACATGCATGGCATTCCCTTTTGAAAAAACAATGTAATACAATGTAAAGTTATATGTAATCCAATGTAATATAAAGAAGATTATGATGATAATAAAAAAGAAAAAAAGAAAAAATGAAAAGATATTGAATGATAAAGTGGAGAGATTACTCTGTACTGACTGACATGCATGGCATTCCTTTTTGAAAAAGCAATGTAATACACTGTAAAGTTATACGTGATTCAATGTAATATAAACAAGATTATGATGATAACAAATAAAATTTTTAAATTAAAAAAAGAGAGAATTATTTATTGGGGCTGGCAGGTGGCACGATGAGTAAGGCCAAGGGACTCCCACATGGCTAACCCTGGACCTGGCAGCTTGCTTTCTCACTTTTCCTCTCTCTCTCTCTCTCTCTCTCTCCTTCTCAATCTCTCCCTCTCTGATCAAATTAAAATAAATAAATAAAGTTAAATAAAATAATTTTTTAAGAAAAGAATCATTCTCTCTCAAGCAGAGTCCCTCTCCATCTGCAGCCTCCTGTGCAGTCGGGGAACCTGAGACAGGGCGGACCATCAGCACCAGCCCCAGCCCTAGCTCCCAACCTCAGAGCAGCCACTCCTCTCAGCCAGAAAGGTAGGCCTTTTTTTTTCCCCCTTCTTTCTTTTGCTAATTCTTTACTTCTCCTTCCCCCATAGATCAGGGGAGCTCTCAAGCAGAGCCCACCTCCATTGCAGCCCCCATGAAACCCGTGCCACGCAGCGCAATGCACGGCTTTCTCTTTGTTCGTCTTTCGTATTCTTTTTCTTCCCTCTACACTGTCGTTTTCTCCTCTTTCTCCATCCCCTCCCTCCAAAGGGACTAGACAGGTCTAGAATTATAGTTTTCAAATATCTTAGCATTGTGAGGCTCCCAGGGATCCTCACTCTATACTGAACTACCAGCAAAAAAGGAGGAACTGCTCTTCAGAAACCTGAAGAGAAAATTCCTCCCATGAGGACCACATCGCTAACCACAGCAGAAGAGGGACTTTGGCACAGAAGCAATTCACAGCAAAAGGGAAGCAAGCTAGTTCCCAGTTGCAGAAGCATTCCCCAAAGGGTTATCCAAAAGTGATTACATCACCCTATGACTAGAAATGGCAAGAGAGCCTCAAGTATTAAAAAAAAAAAGAAAGAAAACAAGAAATACATCTCCATCAAGAGAACACAATAACTCTCCTTTAACTCTTGAAAAAACAGAAGTTACCAAAATGTCAGAGAAAGAATTCAGGGTATTCATGGTGACAAAACTCTATGAGATGGAACAGAAAAGAGAAAATGGACTCAGAAGACAAGGAAGTCCCAAGATTTGAAAGAAGAAATGAACACCATAAGAAAGAGTCAAATGAAACTGTCAGAGATGAAGTCTGTAAAACAAGAAATCAAAACCTTTCTTAAAAGTATTAAAAGTTGATTAGACCATGCTAAAGACCAAATCTCAGACATAGAAAATGAAACCTCTGACCTAGGAAAAAAACACCATAAAGATAGAGAAAATAGCAACAAAGTGAGGATAATATATGAGAAATACTAGAGTCCATTAAACATCCAAACATCTGGATAATTGGTATCCCAGAAGGTGAAGACACTCATAAGGGCATTGAAAATCTACTCCATGAAATCCTGGAAGAAAGTTTTCCAAGTCTAGAGAAGTACTCAAACATCCAGATCTAAGAAATACAAAGGACCCCAAATAGAATCAACACAAGAAGATCTTCTTCACGCATATCTTAGCCAATTCCATGAAATCCTAGAAGAAAGTTTTCCAAGTCTAGAGAAGTACTCAAACATCCAGATCTAATACAAAGGATCCCAAATAGAATCAACCCAAGAAGATCTTTCCCAAGGCACATCTTCGCCAGACTGCCAAATACCACAGATAAAGATAAGATATTAAAACTGGCAAGAGAGAAAGGACAAGTGATTTACAAAGGTCACCCCGCACCAGACCTTTTAATGGAAGCAATGTAAACAAGGAAAGAATGAGAAGACATATTGAAAGTGTTAAAGAGAGAAACTATTTCAACCAAGATTATTATATCCAGCAAGATTTTCCTTCATATGGGAAAGAATATAAAAATCTTTTCAGACAAACAAAACCTGAAGAATTTGCCAACACTAGACCAACTCTTCAAGAAATTCTGAAGAAAGTGCTATACCAAGAAAACTAAAGAAGGGACAAACTGAAATAAGAGACTAAAAGACAATGGCCAATTTAAAGGTAGGGACAAGCCCAGAAATATCAATAATGGATTAAATGTTAATGGATTAAATTCTCCAATCAAGAGACACAGATTGGCCAAATGGATATTTTAAAAAATTTTTTTTCCACTATAGGGCGCGTGCGCTCGCCAGACAGAGAGAGACAGAGAGACAGAAAGCGAGAAATCACCCCCCAGGGGGGATGGTCACGCCACAATCCCTTCTCCTCCATTCTCCTCTCGGGATCTTGGGCACGCACGCACACGCGCCCGGCGTGAGTTTTAAGCCACCGGGTCCGGGACACGAACCGCGATCGACTCCATGGGAGTCCAGCGACATAGCCACTACGCTAACTGCTGGTTCCCTGAATGGATTTTTTTTTAAAAGGCAGAAATCCTCTACAAGAAATGTGTCTCATGGATAAAGGCATACATAGACTAAAAGTCAAGGACTGAAAAAAGGTAGTCCATGTAAATGGAAACTAAAAAAGAGCCGGAGTCAATGATACTAATTTCAGACAAAATAGGCTTTAAAACAAAAGCTGTAAGAAGAGACAAAGAAAGGCATTATATAGTAGTAATAGGGCTAATCCGTCAAGAAGACATAATGCTTACAAATATCAATGTACCCAACTCAGGAGCACCCAAATACGTGAAGGAAAGATCTAAAAGGAGAGATAGACTGCAACATAATCATTGTTGGGGATCTCAACACCGCACTATCTCCTTTGGACAGATCATTTAGACAAAAAATAAGCAAAGAGATACAGGAACTAAATGATACCATAAATCAAATGGACTTAACAGACATCTAGAGAAACTTCCACCCAAAACCCACGAAATATACTTTTTCATCACCCCACGTGAAACCTTTTCAAAGACTGATCACATGATGGGATATAAAGAAAGCCTTGGGAACCAGCAGTTAGCGTAATGGCTATGTCACTGGACTCCCACATGGTCGACTGCGGTTCGAGTCCCGGACCCGGTGGCTTAAACTCACGCCAGGCACATGTGCGTGCATGCCCATGATCCCGAGAGGAGAATGGAGGAGAGGGGATTGCGGCGTGGCCATCCCCCCTGGGGGGTGATTTCCTGCTTTCTGTCTCTCTGTCTCTGTCTGTCTGGCGAGCGTACGCGCCCTATAGCGAAAACCTCTCCAAAAAAGAAAAAATAACTCTCAAAAAAAACAAAATAGATTTCTATGTTTACTGTTTTGTATAACCTTTCAACATAACATTTCAGAGGACGAAATGCAGAAGATAAAGAAACAGCTGTTTACTGAGCAGCAACCACTGTGTTTATCACTGCCAGAATGGGGAAGTGCTGGGTTCTGGAGGCACAGGCTCCAACTCCTTCCAGGATGGAGGAGAGAAGCCATTGATTCTGCCTCTGAACCTGGATTCTATCCCACCTCTAACCCTAACTATTGGCATGATCTGGGACAACTTCTTTTCCCCCAGGCTTCTCTGCAGGAGAGGAGGGTGCCAAGGATGTCCAAAGTCCCTTCCGAACTGAAAGGCTGCCTTCTCTTACTGATATGTGGGGACTGATCATGCCCCGTGAGATCATGAGACTTCCGATTTCCACACTACCACACTGATAGCGTCACCTCCAGATGGTGCAAGTACAGCATGCAGCAACCATAAAGGAATTGGGTGACCTCCCTGCCAGGCAAGGTTCACACAGGTTCTCCCCTGGGCCAGGAGCCTCCTGGACCTCAGTTCTCTGTCCCTGGACTTCTAAAATGTTATCCTCAGTGGCGATCTGCATGTGGTCTTACCTCTCCAGTTAAATGCTAAGCTCTTTGAAATGCCTCCAAAGTCCCCTAGGTCCATAAATAAGAGGTAAGCATCCCCGTTTCCTGTTTCAGCGCCCACTTTTCTCCCTCCTCTCCCCTCATAATGCTTTCTCCCATCACCCCCCTACCTCCTTAATCTGCAAGGCTACAAATATTCTTCCAAACTGGTATCCCTGCCTCCAGGTTTGCTTTTATTTGACATCTCAAAAACCCCACTATGGCTCTCAGTTGCCTACTAAATAAAACTCGTGGCCTGACTTCAGCATACCTCTGCAGGACTGCGGCCACAAAAAGAACCACTTCCAGTTCTGGGCACACACCAGCCTTTCCCACCTCCAGGATTAAATCCCGCGGTTAATTCCTCCTAAAGTTTTCTTCTGTTCAGCCGCGGAGCTTGGTCGTCGTTGTGCCTTTCTCCCTTTGAACGCCAGAGGGCACTCCAGGGCACTGCCCACCGCGAGCGGGAGCGGCTCGGTAGCCGCGCAGTCTGGGCTGACACGCCCCTTTTTCCTCCGAGCCAATCGTTGGCCGGAGTGGGCGGAGCCGCGCCTCGTCACCGGCGTGATAAGAGGCGGCGGTGGAGACGCGGAAGCAGCGATGCGGGAGCTGCGGCCTTGGCAATGGGCGGTACGGGCAGCGCGGCACCTGCTGCTGCTGCTGCTGTCGGTGCTGTTCCTCGGGGAGGCTGGATCGACGCTCCGGACTCAGCCTCCGCGGCGCTACACACCCGACTGGCAGAGCCTGGACTCCCGGCCGCTGCCAGCCTGGTTCGACGAGGCCAAGTTCGGGGTGTTTGTGCACTGGGGCGTGTTCTCGGTGCCCGCCTGGGGTAGCGAGTGGTTCTGGTGGCACTGGCAGGGCGAGAGGCTGCCCCGGTACGAGCTCTTTGTGCACGAGAACTACCCGCCCGGCTTCAGCTACGCCGACTTCGGGCCACAGTTCACGGCGCGCTTCTTCCACCCGGACCAGTGGGCCGACCTCTTCCAGGCAGCCGGGGCCAAGTGAGTGTCGTGGCGGGGCGGGCGGCGACACTCCTTCCCCGCCCCAGGCCGACGCGAGCAATAGGAGGTGGAGGGTAGACAACCCTTCCAAGGCCACACTGCTGCCCATCTGTCTGAGGATACCCTCAGGTCCTCCCGAAGGATTCAGAATTGAACAGACACACGTGATCATAGGAAGAGCTTGGGGACTTTAAAATGAAGGCTTCAGGGAGCTGGTGGGCTAGAAAGCCCCTGCGCCTACACCTGCGTGTAGAGAGGACTGAGTGGGCGATACCTAAGGTCCGTTTTTGGATCCGCAAGATAGTCAGGCTTCCAGGATTTTGAGTCTGTGGGAGTCCAGTCCTGGTTCAGCTGCGAGCTTGGACAAGTCCCAGCCGCCCTCCAGGATACAGAGGCCGAAGGGGTTCTGGTGTGCAGTGTATCTGGGCAACAGCAGGTTCCACTCCGCCCCTCTCAGTACCTTGCACACGGGAAGTGCGGGAGGAAGGTTTGAAACGTTCTGTGGACTGTCAGAGAACTGAAACTGGAGAGGTCTGGGGTGCGGATAAGGGGGGCAAAGACCCTGAGGCTGGTGGGAGGCACAGGCCTTTCTGGAAGGAGTAAACCTGGAGGGCTGGAAATGGCTTGGTGTCAAGTCAGGGAACTTACAAGTGCTTCTTAGAAAAATTAGTTTGGGGGGCCAGCAGGTGGTGTGGTGGTTGAGGGTGCTGGACTCCCACATGGCTGACCATGGTTCAAGTCCCAGACATGGTGACTTGCTTGCTCGCTCGCGCTCTCTCTCTCTCTGATCAAAATAAATAAAATAATTTATTGAAAAAGAAAAAGAAAAACTAGTTTGGGGACCAGCAGATGGCAGCGTGGTTGTATCGCTGGACTCCGCCTCCACTGTGCTCCACTGGCAGCATGAAACACACAGGGCTCAAGCATGCCCCAAATCCTAAGAGAACAGAGAATGGCAGCATGGCCATCCCTCCTGGGCGGTGATTTCTCGCTTTCTGTCTCTGTCTCTGAGTGCACATGCCCTATAGCAAAATTCTCTCCAAGAGAAAAAGGGTGGGTTTGGCTGCTGGGAGGGAAGTGGGCTGGAGAAGAGTAGAAGGGAAGCAGAGAGGTTCCCGGAGGGGAGGGAGAGCGGCTTCCTTCCTTCCCTGTCTCACTTCCAGGTTCTAGCTGCTCTTGGACTTTAGGTTCTCTTGTGCTAACGAGAAACTCGCATTTAGTGGCTGCCGTTTCCTGTACGTACAAGGCTGGAGTAAACAGGAGTGGTGTCTGCCTTCTAGGGGCTTTAGAGATCCGTAACTTACAAATGAAAAACAAAATTGAAATCTGGGGAACAGCCTTGTCCAGATCCCTTGTTTTATGAATGAGACAGCTGACCCGGAGAGAAGAGACCTAGTGTCTAGACCGCAGCTCCCACAGCTGTGAGAAGGTTCCACTGCACCGGGGGTCCACAGACTGTAGCCGTGTTTCCGTAGGGCCTGTGAGGTCAGAGTGGTTTTTACACCTTGAGATGATTATTTGAAGGGGCCGGCGGGTGGTGTACTCGTGGTTAAGGCGCTGGACTCCCAGGGGGCTTAACCGGCGGCCTGCTTTCTCACTCTCCCTCTCGCTCTCTCTGTCTCTCTCTCTGATCAGATTTTTTAAAAATTAAAAATGGGGACCAGCAGTTGGCGTAATGGCTATGTCGCTGGACTCCCATGTAGTCGACTGTGGTTCAAGTCCTGGACCTGGTGGCTTAAACTCACGCCGGGCGCGTGTGCATGCGTGCCCAAGATCCCGAGAGGAGAAGGGAGGAGAAGGGATTGCGGTGTGGCCATCCTCCCAGAGGGTAATTTCTCACTTTCCGTCTCTCTCTGTCTTTCTCAGGTGCTCACGTACCCTTATAGCAAACATCTCTTAAAACAAAGACAAAAACAAAAACAGACAAAAAAAACAAAAATCACCACTTGCTCTATTCTGTCACCCAATCTGTTCCCAGGCTAAAGGCTGGAATATCAAGCCCTGCAAGAGAAGGGGATAGAGCAGGAAGTGGCAGGCTGGCAGCGTCAGGTGAGTTGAGTATCCCATCTGTTTTCTCCTGGCTTTGATAGCTAACAAATGACTACTGGAGCTAACCATGGTTGGGTTTGGTATGGTGTCCTTTCCTTTCTCCTTTCTCATCAAAGTTTGCTTCATCGTATTACGTGATTTTTGGCCTAGGGTGAGAATCTGGTGGGCAACCTGCAAGGCTGAGGTCATAACAAAAGGAAGCCCTCAAAACAGCCTAAATTGTTAAAATTTTATGACATTTGCCAGAAGCAATCAAAATAAAAGTCTAAGCTTTGCAAATCATGTTCTAGGTTAGGAATTATTCATCTCTTATGAGGTTCTGGCTGGCACTGTGGTGGAGGCACGAGGAGTGAAATATAAGCCCCTAATAGACTTCCATGAATAATGGAGACCCGTATTTACATTTGAGAAGAAGTGAAGCAGCACTAGGTTGATAATAACCATCCTTCCAAAATCTCTGCCAGAAAATTAGGGGCCTTCCCTACTGTGCTTCCCAAGCACTTTATGTATTCAGGGCAAGGTGACTGCATAATACCTCCTAGAAAAGTCTCCGTGCATTCTTTGAGGAACAAGGTCAGCCTAGGTACAACCTGAGCCTCCATATTAAGTTGTTCAGATGACCATCAGAACAGGGTGAAAACTTCTGCACCACTAATTATCTGTGCTTTCACTCTTAGCTTCTCACCAGATATTTTTTTATGCAGTTGCTTAAGTCTCCATATGTCATTTATTTTTCTTCTGTCAATTTCCTAGGTTTTCGGAAGAAAACATTTCAGAGAAGAGATTCCTGACTCTGGCTTTGCAACTCCCCAGGATGTCTCCAATTATCTCCAAAGGTGTCACAACATTCTCTCCAAACAAAATTCTAACTAATTCGCTAATGGAAAACAGGATTTTGGGAGACAGTAGGGCTGAAGGTGGGAGTCTGAACTGTCAAATAATCCAGCGGGGGTGGAGCGTTCCGCCTCCACTGTGCTCCACTGGCAGCATGAAACACACAGGGCTCAAGCATGCCCCAAATCCTAAGAGAACAGAGAATGGCAGCATGGCCATCCCTCCTGGGCGGTGATTTCTCGCTTTCTGTCTCTGTCTCTGAGTGCACATGCCCTATAGCAAAATTCTCTCCAAGAGAAAAAGGGTGGGTTTGGCTGCTGGGAGGGAAGTGGGCTGGAGAAGAGTAGAAGGGAAGCAGAGAGGTTCCCGGAGGGGAGGGAGAGCGGCTTCCTTCCTTCCCTGTCTCACTTCCAGGTTCTAGCTGCTCTTGGACTTTAGGTTCTCTTGTGCTAACGAGAAACTCGCATTTAGTGGCTGCCGTTTCCTGTACGTACAAGGCTGGAGTAAACAGGAGTGGTGTCTGCCTTCTAGGGGCTTTAGAGATCCGTAACTTACAAATGAAAAACAAAATTGAAATCTGGGGAACAGCCTTGTCCAGATCCCTTGTTTTATGAATGAGACAGCTGACCCGGAGAGAAGAGACCTAGTGTCTAGACCGCAGCTCCCACAGCTGTGAGAAGGTTCCACTGCACCGGGGGTCCACAGACTGTAGCCGTGTTTCCGTAGGGCCTGTGAGGTCAGAGTGGTTTTTACACCTTGAGATGATTATTTGAAGGGGCCGGCGGGTGGTGTACTCGTGGTTAAGGCGCTGGACTCCCAGGGGGCTTAACCGGCGGCCTGCTTTCTCACTCTCCCTCTCGCTCTCTCTGTCTCTCTCTCTGATCAGATTTTTTAAAAATTAAAAATGGGGACCAGCAGTTGGCGTAATGGCTATGTCGCTGGACTCCCATGTAGTCGACTGTGGTTCAAGTCCTGGACCTGGTGGCTTAAACTCACGCCGGGCGCGTGTGCATGCGTGCCCAAGATCCCGAGAGGAGAAGGGAGGAGAAGGGATTGCGGTGTGGCCATCCTCCCAGAGGGTAATTTCTCACTTTCCGTCTCTCTCTGTCTTTTTGGCAAGCACACATGCCCTATAGCAAAATCCTCTCCCCCCCCCAAAAAAAATAATAAAAATGATAATAAATTAAATTAAATAGTTCTTTTAAAAATTATTTTAAAAAGAAAAATATGCTACCAAGCGGAATATGGTCCACAAAGCCTAAAGTCCTACCTTGCCCTGGAGTTCTCCGTACCAGCCAGGGATGCAATCACTGTGTGTAGGCAGGGTTTTTTCTCTCTCTCTTTTCTTTTTCTTTTTCTTTTCAATTTGCCAGAGGGCGCACATGCTCACTAGAGGGACACACAGAGACGGAAAATGAGAGTCACCGCGGGGGATGAGCACGTTGCTAACCCTTCTCCTTTATTCTCTACTTGGGATTTGGGCATGAACGCACATGCTTGGGCTTCCTTCCCAGTCCGTGGGCCGAGGCCCAAACTGCGTGGTGGGACACGCGGATCCAGCCGCCCTCATCACTACACCGTGGTTGGCTCAGCATTTCTACCTCTGTCTCCAGGGGACCCGGTGGCCGAGATGCTGTGTTGGGTGGGCTGGGGCCACACGGGGGACGTGAGTTTGATCCCTGCCCCTCGCTAGGCTGGGCATCGCAGCAGGTACCCGTGCCTGCTACCCCCGCTGGGGCTCAGGCAGGAGGCTCCCACGTGGGGAAAACTGCTTTAAGAAACTGAAGTTGCGGTGATCTGGTTGCTGTTCCAATACTTGCCTCCTTCCCAGCTCTTTGGGTCTTTTGTCACGTCTGTGAATGAGAGCCAATCCCTCAGCCGCGGTAACAGCCAGCCTGCTTTTCCACAGAGATCTTTTCCTTCAGGGAAAATGGTTAACGAGGTTAATTATTTCTACCCAGAAGAACCAGAGCTGAGGCTGCACTTCTTTTTCCTGTCCCTACCCCTTCCTTGCTCTGTGCCTCCTCTTTGGGGACTGAACTGTCCCGGAGTGATACCCAAGGGGACTCTTGCGGCCACTCTTGGGCTCTTCCACAGGGTGTCTCCTGCCGTCAGTCTCCCGGCCGTTTTGTGTGCTACTGATTTTAAATAGTTTTTTTTTCTTTTTAAAGACTTTAAAATTATTTTATTTTAATTTTATTTATTATTATTATCATTATTATTTTCCAGTTTGATCAGAGAGACACAGAGAGAGAGAGAGAGAGAGAGAGGAAGTGAGAAAGCAAGCCACCAGGTCTGAGACTTGAACCATAGTCGGCCATGTGGGAGTCCAGCGCCTTTAACCACCATGCCACTTGCCGGCCCCAATAGTTTTCATTGCTACTAGTTTTTGTTGTTGCATTTTGGTTTGGTTTGGTTTTTTGTTGTTTTCAACTATAGGGCACATGTGCTCACCAGAGAGAGACAGAAAGCGAGAAATCACCCCCCCAGGGTGGATGGCCCCTGCAATCCCTTCTCCTCCATTCTCCTCTCGGGATCTTGGACACACATGCACACGTACCTGGCGTGGGTTTAAGCCACCGGGTCCAGGACTCAAACTGCAGTCAACCACTGGGGGTCCAGCGACCCAGCCATTATGCTACCTGCTGGTCCCTACCTCGTGTGATTTTCAAGCTGCCGGTTCTGGGACTTGAACTGTGCTGTTGGCCATGTGGGATTCAGCCTCCTCAGCCTCCACACCCCCTCTGGCCCGTATTTCTTTTGGAGGGGTGGATAGAAGGTGCAGGGCACACACACACACACGCGTGGCATGAGTCTCAAACCTTGGGGCCTAGGACTTGAACCACGAAGTTGGCCATGTGGGACCCAGCACTTTAACTTCCATGTTTTTTAAAGTTTCTTCCATTGGAGACAGAGAGAGAAAGACAAGCCCCCTCAACAGCTTCTCAAGCCTCCATTCCTCCCCCCAGCCCTCTTCAGCCAGCCAGAACCACGGACGCGCACGCATGCCCAGCACAGATTAACCTGGGCACCAAACCCAGGCTTCCCGGTGGCCTCCGGCTTGCAGAGGGGTGCACTCCTTCTGCCCACCACAGCTGGGCCCTCGACCATGTCACAGGCTGCGGCAAGCTGGCTGGTTCATGCTCTTCACAGCCCTCCTTGCTCACGTGGTTCTGGCGTCCACAGGTACGTGGTCCTGACCACAAAGCACCACGAAGGCTTCACGAACTGGCCGAGCCCTGTGTCTTGGAACTGGAACTCTCAGGACCTGGGTCCTCACCGTGACTTGGTTGGTGAGTTGGGCACAGCTGTCCGCAAGAGGTATGTGTCTATGGGTGGCTCCTTGGTCATCTCCAGCCCCCTGCCTTTTCGACGCTTGTGTTTTCTAAGTTTGCACCTAGTCAGCCACCTGGAGGCTTCTGGCCTTGGAATTGGCTGTATTCCATGCTTACTAACTAGTTAGCACCAGAGTAAAGGCGACACCATCAGAGAAATCCGTGGCTACGTCTGGTTGGGTGAAGGTTACCCTGCGTAGACCACACTGCTCCACCTGCAACCTGCAAGGGTTCCTTCCGGGAAGCGCTCCCACCGAGGGCCTTCTCCACTGTCTGATGGAGGCCAGAGACTGAGGTGTTCATCTGTGTCCTCGCTGGCCATCAGCACAGAGCGTCCCAGGTCTTTGTGTAGGCTTCACGGGGCTGGGAAGGGCAGCAAACGTGAATGGTTTTCCTGTGAGTGCTCCTCAGTGTTTGCCACTTGCTAGGAAGAAGCTTCCCAAGATCAAGGAGGCAGGAAGGGGCAGAGGTGGCATTTGGACCCCGCAGACCAAATGTTTGCCTGTGAGGAAGACGAGTGGTGTCCTGCCCTTCCCAAACTCAGCTCTGCTGTGATTCGGTAAACCCGAGGTCCCGTTCAGGGGAGGGCGATCGGCCATGGAGTTTGGTTGGAACCCAGCCAGGCCAACTCACAAGACCCATGACTGCCTGCAAGCTGCAGTTGGAAAGCTGAGCCGGAGACGCGTGCGTGGCCCAAAATGCCCAAGGCACGTCTGACCCCATAAGAGGGAGTTGCTGACTCGTGTCACCTGCCGGGGGCTCAGTCCCCAGTGCTGTGCCGACTCGTGTCACCTGCCGGGGGCTCAGTCCCCAGTGTTGTGCCTACTTGTGTCACCTGCCGGGGGCTCAGTCCCAGTGCTGTGCTTTCAGAATAAGTCTGCCATAGAACTGGGCGATGGCAGTTAGAGCTGGGCTTCGGGAGCCAGTTTTCACCTGAGTCATGTGATGAAGTACTTACCTGTTCCATGTTCTCTGTACTTCTGACTTGCATTATTCTGTGTTTCTAACGTTCACCATTCTTTTTTTTTTTTTTTTTTCTGGTAAGAGAGTGTGCTATGCTATAGAGTGTGTGCACTCATCAGAGAGACAGAGACAGAGAGACAAAAAGCGAGAAACCATCCCTCAGGGTGATGACCACTCCACAGTCCCTTTTCCATTCTCCTCTCAGGATCTTGAGCTTGCACACACACGCATCTGGCATAAGTTTTAAGCCACTGGGTATGGGACTTGAACCACAGACAACTACGTGGGAGTCCAGCAACATAACCATTAATGCCATCTGCTGGTCCCCAAGATAGGGCACTTTAGTCCCATTTCACTTGGTTCGGTTCAGAGTTATTCGTAAATCTTAGCTCGATGGAACAATGAACTTCATTTCGTCTATGTAGAAAATACTACTAAGGATGATTTCTATTTTGAATATTTTGTCATTTTTTTTTCTCTTTTCCAATTTCTCTAGAATATAGATTTTTATGTTTGACGACAAAAAACAATTCTAAATAGTTCGGTGTATTGTTCAGATCATTGACTTAAAAGGTCATTTAGGCTAGCAAGTGGATGGTGGTTGAGGTGCTGGATCCCACATGGCTGATTCCATGGTTCGAGTACCAGACCTGGCAGCTTAAACATGTCGGGCACGTGTGCACGCGCGCCCGAAACTCCCTAGAGGAGAAGGGAGGAGAAGGGATTGTGGCATAGCCATCCCCCAGGGGATGATGTCTCAATTTCCCTCTCTCCGTCTCTCTCCAGGGAGCACATGTGCCCTAAAGCAGAAACATAAAATAAATAAATAAAGATCATTTTAATGACATTTTGGTGTTAAGCTATTTTCGTCTAAAAACGGGTACGCTTCACTGATATGTAAAGATGCTAAAACTGATTTTTCTGGAGTCGTTTGTCCTGTGCTCAGTGATGGTCACAGCCTGTTTTTCTCTTAAGGAACTTACGCTATGGGCTCTACCACTCGCTCCTAGAGTGGTTCCATCCCCTCTACCTGCTTGATAAGAAAAATGGCTTCAAAACACAGAATTTTGTCAGCGCAAAAACAATGCCAGAGCTGTACGACCTCGTTACCAGGTAAGAAACAGCGGTGCTTTGTGCCCGCGGGCTTTCATCAGTGAGATCAGCTTCCTGTATGGTACTGTTGCAACGGGAGGCTGCCGGCAGGCGGTGTGGCAGTTAAAGGTACTGGACTCCCACATGGCCCTCCGCAGTTTGAGCCCCAGACCTGGCAGCTTGCTTTCTCCCTTTCCCTTTCTCTCTCTCTCTCTCTCTGGTCAAGTTAAAAAATGATAATAAATGGAATTAAATATATATATATATAGGATGGCCACGCTGCAATTCCTTCTCCTCCATTCTCCTCTTGGGATCTTGGGCATGCATGCACACGCGCCCAGCGTAAGTTTTAAGCCACCAGGTCCAGGACGCGAACCGCGGTCGGCTACGTGGGAGTCCAGCGACATAGCCATTATGCTAACTGCTGGTTCCCAGTAAATAATTATTTTTTAAAGCACGGGAGGCAGGAGGACAGGAATGTAAAGTCCAGCACACATCGAAATAATAAAAGCAGAGGGGACCCGTGTGGTACGCAGGCTGAAGGCCTTCTGTGGCTGCTGGAAGTCCCCTCAGAAAAACTACCATGTCCCCAGCCCACCACAGCGGATGAAATCGATTTCACGATGGGAGATGCTGGGACTTCCAGCACTTACCCTATGCAGTGCTCAGCCCTGCACAAAAACGCTTTCGTGGTGCTGAAAGGACAACCATGCAAAATAGTGGGGATGTCAACCTCCAGAACTGGAAAGCTCAGCCATGCCAAGGTTCACCTTGCTGGGATTTTTCACTGGCAAAAAACATGAAGACATTTGCCCCTCTACTCACAACATAACATGGATGTTCCAAATATCAAGAGAAATTATATCAACTGATCCACATTCAGAATGGCTACCTCTCCCTGCTGCAGAGACCGGTGAGGTTCGTGAGGACCTTAAGCTGCCAGAAGGTGAACTGGGCCAAGAAATTGAAGGAAAGTACAGTGTGGGTGAAGATGGACAGGTGTCTGTCTTGTGTGCAATGAGTGAAGAACATGCTGTAGCCGTAGAGCCCTGCAAACAAGTGGGGCCGTCAGGGATGATCAGACTGTTCAGGTCTGGATCAACTGCACACCTAAAGTTTGGCTCTAAGTTGTCCCCAAAGCTGTGGCCTTCATAAGCAACCTGTATCCCTTTTTTTTTTTTTTTTAATTGTTTTAAAAATGTGCTGGGTTAGTTTTGCAGACAATAGGTAATTTTAAAAAATAACATGTGTAATTTTTTTTTTAATTTTGTAAATGTCTTTCCTACAACATTCCTGTGGTTTTTGGTATGTGAGTTCACAGAAATGGACAAGATAGCTTCAGCAAACATGATTTGTAAGGACAAAGCATTCCCGTAGCTTAGTTAATGATAAGTAAACCAGGGCTTAGCAAACAATGTAGCATCTAGTGCTATTGAAGTACCACATTGAAGATGAATTGCGCTGCATTAATTTCAGACTTAACATCATAGAGCACGGGGCTTATGGATTGGAATTTCAGTTTCAGCCCGCACGGCAAACACAGACCATGTTATCAGAGCATCAGCTCTTCTGGTGGCCGTGTGAAGCCACATGTGTTACCTCAGTCATTTCCAGTCTCTGTCACGTTGTTGGCAGCCTTCATATCACACAGCCTTCCGTGGCTGTTTTGGCACCTGCTCGTGGCTGACAGCGATGGGTGAACGTGAGCAAGTCAAGTTATGAAGACAAAGGACACAGGCGGGGGGTGGGTAAAGTATAGGTTTTTATTGGAGGCCTTTGTAGCCAGCATAAAAATAGAAAGTTGCTTTTTATTTTTGTTTTGTTTTATTTTTTGTTTTTTTGCTTTTTGCTTTTAACTTTTACTCCTCCTGGCCCATGCCAGTATGGGAAGGAATAACCTTCTCTACAGCATACTGCGAAGTACTTTTTCTTTTTTTTTTTCACAAGTATATTGAATAGGGACCAGCAGTTAGCGTAATGGCTATGTCGCTGGACTCCCATGTAGTCGACCGCGGTTTGAGTCCCGGACCCAGTAGCTTAAACTCAAGCCAGGCACGTGTGCGTGCGTGCCCAAGATCCCGAGAAGAGAATAGAGGAGAAGGGATTGCAGTATGGCCATCCCCCCTGGGGGTGATTTCTCGCTTTCTGTCTCTCTGTCTGTCTGGTGAGCGCACGTGCCCTATAGCAAAAACCTCTCAAAAAAAAAAAAAAAAAAACTACAAGTATATTGAATAAACATTGGTATTTATCAGTTAAAAATAATAATACTAATACTAATAATAAGAAAAACAGTGATTTTTTTTGGTCCTACTTTTCAAAACATCTGAAATTACTACATTCCAAATAAAATAGCCTTCATAAATTAAGTCACAACTTCACCACCCCCCTCACACTCTGTTCTCTCTATGTAGGATCTTGGAAAGGGAGGGAGGGGCCGGTAGGTGGCATGGTGGCTAAAGCACTGGACTCCCACATGGCCGACCACGATTTGAGTCCAGGACCTGGCAGCTCAAAATCATGCCAGGCACTTGTGTGTGTGTGCTGAAAATCCCAGGAGGAGAGTGGAAGAGAAGGGATTACGACATGGCCATCACCCCAGGGGGTGGTTTCTCCCTTTCCCTCTCTGTCTCTCTCCTCTCCCTGAGTGCACACGCCCTATGGCAAAACCTAAAAAAAAAAAAAAAGAAAAAAAAGAAAAAGATGATGAAAGGGAGGGATGGCCTCTGGCCGAGGATCACACATCGGACATACTGGTTTTTATTGCTTACAGACCTTAAACGGATCTCAGCCTCAGACTTCCGCTTTGCAGCCTGGGTGGGGATGATACCTTTTATGCAGGGCTCAGAACAGTGGTGGGACCAGCACATGGCATCGCTGGATTCCCACGTAGTTAACTGCAGTCTAAGTCCCAGATCTGGCAGCTTAAAACTCAGGCAGGGAGGGGGAACCCGCAGTTAGTGTAATGGCTATGTCGCTGGACTCCCACGTAGTCGACCGCGGTTCGTGTCCCGGACCCGGTGGCTTAAAACTCACGCCGGGCGCGTGTGCGTGCGTGCCCAAGATCCCGAGAGGAGAATGGAGGAGAAGGGATTGCGGCGTGCCCATCCCCCCTGGGGGGTGATTTCTCGCTTTCTGTCTCTATGTCTCTGTCTGTCTGTCTGGCGAGCGCACGCGCCCTACAGTGAAAATCTCTCAAAAAAAAAAAAAAAAAAATCTCAGGCAGGGAGGAAGGGGGACCAGCAGATGGCGTAGTGATTCCATCGCTGGACTCCAACACAGTCGACTGTGGTTTGAGTCCCGACCCTGTGGCATAAAATGTATGCCAGGCATGTGTGCACACGTGCCCAAAATCCTGTGAGGAGAATGGAGAAGAAATTGTGGCACAGCTTTCTCCTCTGGGGGGCGATTTCTTGCTTTCTGGCTTTCTGTCTCTCTTTTTTTCTCTGGTGAGCACATGTGCCCTATAGTAAAAATCTCTTTAAAAAAACTTCACACTGGGTGCATGTGTGTGTGTGGGTGCCCAGAACCCTGAGAGGAAAATGAAAGAGAACGGATTGCAGTGTGGCCATACACCGGGGAGTGATTTCTTCCTCTCTCTCTGGCAAGCACACACGCCCTATAACAAAAATGTCTCTGAAGAAAGGAATAGTTTGTGGGAAGTATCTGTCACCGTGTCTGGTACAGAGCAAGGGGGGTGTTAGGATCATTATTATTTTTTTTTAGAGAGAGAAGAGATTTTTGTTATAGGATGCGTGTACTCACCTGAGAGATAGAGAGAGACAGAGAGAGAAAGCAAAAAATCACCCCCAAGGGGATGGCCACACAGCAATCCCTTCTGCATTCTCTCAGGATCCCCACCCTGGGAAGTGATTTCTCGCTTTCTGCTTCTCTGTCTCTCTGTCTCTCCAATGAGTACACTCACCCTATAGCAAAAATCTCCAAAAAAAAAATAAATAAATAGCTCTGGGGACCAGCAGGTGACGTGGTGGTTAAGGCACTGGACACTCTCACATAGCTGACTGCGGTTCAAATCCCAGACCTGGTGGCTTGCTTTCTCACCCTCTCTCTGGTCAAATTAAAAATAAATGAATTAAAAAAAAATGAATGAATAAATAAAAATTAAAAAAAAAAAAAAGCTCATTGTCACACTGGGATCTGTCATGAGCTGTCACCACGGTATCCTGGTTTGCCCTTCTCAGACCTGGGGGCTCCTAGAAGACAAGGACCCATAAGGCTTCAGAGGCAGCCGTCTGCCAGGACTCTCACTGTAAGAAACCTCGTTGGCTCCAGATCCTATCCGGATGACTTCTCTAAGAGACACTACGATTGTGAGAGACCTGCCCAAGCTTAGAAAGACCAGGCATTACTGGGTTGAAATCTCAGCTCTTTTTCCCTACTGGCTCTGTGGCCTTGAACAGACTTCCTCTTCCCAGGTCTCGGTTCCTCTGTCTGCAGAATGGGCACAGTGACACAGCACAGGGCTGCCTGGCACAGCAGTAAGCAAGGGTGTGCCCGCAAGGCTGATCATATGGGAAGGTGCCAGGTTTGTGTCTGGACCACCTCGCATACGCTGGGCATGCGCGTGCCCTTGTTCTGGGCTGAATGAGGCTGGGGAGGATCATGGCGTCAAGACCCTGTTGAGGGACTCGCCCGCTCTTGTCTGTTTCTTTCGCTCATGGAAAAAATAATAAACTTGAGCCCTGGTCCGTCACATGGCCCAGGTGGTGCGGTGATTAAGGAGCTGGACTCCCACATGGCAGACTGCGATTCGAGTCCCAGACCCAGTGGCTTGAGCATAAGCTGGGTGCATACAGCCCCGAAATCCCACGGAGGGAAAGGAGAAGAGATTGCTACGCTGCCATCCCCGGAGGGTGATTTCTCACTGTCTGTCTCTCTCTAGTGAATGCATATGCCCAATGGCAAAAGCCTAGGTAAACCAAAAATGCCTAGAAACTCATTCAAAGTGAAAATCTAATAGGAAATCCATAGACTTAAAAGAAAGGAAGGAAGGAGGGAAGGAAGAAAGAAAGAAGAAATAAATAGGGACCAGCAGGCGACATAGTGATTAAGGCGCTGGATTCCCACATGGCCGACCACAGTTCAAATCCTGGACCTGGTGGCTTTCTCTCGCTCTCTCTTTCTCTTTCTCTCTCTCTCTCATGAGTGCATGTGCCCTACAGCAACTTAAATAGTAATAAAAAATAAAATTAAATAAATAAGTTTTTTTAAAAATAAATAATAAACTTTAAAAAATAATAATAATAGACCATAGCGCCGTGAGGACGAATGAGGTGATGAGTAGACCTTGCTTATATGATTTCCAGCGCACAGGAAGGTGCAGGCCACCGTTCTGTCTCACCACCCGGAGGGGCAGTCTGTTTCCGGCACCTGCTTGCTGGCTACTTAGGAGCCTAGCACGGGGCCGGCAGGAGGCACATTGCATGGAGTTCCACCTCCCGCTGCTTACAAGCTCTGTCACCAAAGCAAACTGCTCTCCCGAGCATCAGGCTCTTCCCACTGAAATGGGGACGATAGTGCTTACCTTAGGGACATATATAGATACACAGGCACACGCACGCACACGCACACACTTTGTAGGACGGAGTAATAACGCACAAAAAGTGATTAGGGCTTAGGTGGATTCTATAGAACCTTTACAGTAGAAACACCGGGTAATTGTCAAAAAAAAAAAAAAAAGCATTTTGGAGAATAGTTCAAGTTCTAAATAGTTAAAAGTAGAAATCTTAATCCTTCAGTTCTAGAGCACCATGTTTTGTTTTGTTTTGTTTTGTTTTACCACAAAGCACATGAGCTCACCCAAGAGAGACAGAGAAAGACAGATTCAGAGACAGGAAGGGAGACATCACCTCCCATGGGGATGGCCATAGCACCATCCCTTCTCCTATATTCTTCTTCTCTTGGCAATTTGGACATGCATACACATGTGCCCAGTGTGATTTTCAAACTGTCGGGTCTGGGACTCAAGCCATGGTTGACCATGTGGGAGTTCAGGGTGTTAACCACCATGCCACCTGCTGGCCTCTAGAGCACCACTTTTTTTTTTAATTATTTGTTTATTTAATTCCATTTGTTATTATTATTTTTTAATTTGACCAGACAGAGACAGAGAGAGAGGAAAGGAAAGTGAGAAAGTAAGCCGCTAGGTCTAGGACTTGAACCGTGGTTGGCTGTGTGGAATCCAGCCTTTATCCACCACGCCACCTGCCAGCCCCAAGAGCACCACTCTTAATTGGAATTAGTTGCTGGAAGGAAACCAGACCATACACTGTATATATACTGATTACAACTCTATTTTCGAAAATGGTGTAAAGAGAAAGATCAGGAGGAAATGCAGCACAGTGCCATGCTGTGTGGGGGAGAGAGTGCACGCATACCTGTCCACAAGGGGGCAGGGAGCACCGTTGACAAGGTCTCTGCATGCTGCTGTCCCGTCTGCCTGCCTCCGGTGTCTCAGAACCCTGGGCACCCAAGTGCGAGCCGGTGCATGTTTTCAGACAGCCTGGAGCTCCAACCCACGCTTGGCCTGTGGCTTTCCACACTGCGGCCTCGTGTACGGCAGACTAACCCAGGCTGGGCCCAGTGATTGTTTTAAACAGGGGTCATATTAACCGAGTGATGTGGTGATTCTCGGGTTTTCTACGTCCTCTGCGTTACGATAATCTTACGGTACTTTCAGTGGAGTGGGGTGTTAATTTTTAAGTATTTGTTGCAAAACTCAGTCCGTAAGACTTGCCCACGAACGCACTCGTAATAAACTGCCCCGGTCACACGTCTTCTAGATACAAGCCTGATCTGATCTGGTCCGACGGGGAGTGGGAAAGCCCTGACACGTACTGGAATTCCACGGAGTTTCTCTCCTGGCTCTACAACGATAGCCCCGTCAAGGTAAGTGTCTGCATGACTTACCTCTTAATTATTATCTGTTGTGATTAAAAAGAAGGAGGGCCAGCCCATGACTGGAGGCTAAGGTGGCTGGATCCCACAGGGCCGACTATGCGGTTCGAGTCCCAGACCTGGCATCTTGAAAAACACGCCAGGTGCATGTGTGTGCATGCCCAGAGTCCTGACTGGAGGGAGACATGGAGGAGAAGGGATTGCTGCATGGCCATCCCCCATGTGAGGTACTTTCTCCCTTTCTCTGTCTCTCTCTTTTTCTGTCTCTATCCACTGAGTGCATGCACCCTCTGGCAAAGTTATTTTTTTAAAAAAAGAGAAGTGTTTTCTGGAACTTGCTGAATATGTGGAGACTCCCAGATGTTCATCCCAGGAATATGCTGTCACATTGTAACTGTCCACGTCTGTCCCCTCCACTGTCCCTGCTGGACGATCAGGTGCGCAGACAGTTTTGTCACTTGGGAGACCGCACCTGCCTAGTGCATGTCCTTGACGGCTGAGCCTACGGGGCGGGTGTGGACCGTCCGAGGCTCTGAGAGTGAGGAGGTGAGGTCGAGTGAGGAGGTGAAGGGGAAGAGACAGCCTGTGCCAGTGTCTGGACTCACGGCCGCTTCCTCCAGGAAGATCTAGATTTCTTTTGTTAAGTTTTGCTGTAAGGTGCACGCACACGCCAGAGAGAGACAGAGAGAGAGAGGGAAAGTGAGGAACCAGCCCCTGGAGAGGACGGCCATGCTGCAGTTCCTTCTCCTCCATTCTCCTCCTGGAATTTTGGGCATGCACGTACATGTGCCTGGAGTGTTTTTCAAGCCTCCAGGTCTGGGATTCGAACCTCAAAATCAGCCATGGGGGTCCAGTGCCTTAACCTCCCTGCCATCTGCTGGCCCTCTTTTGTTTTTTTGCTTGTTTTTGTTTGTTTTGTTTTGGTTTGGGTTTTTTTTTTTTTTTTTTTTTGCTTATTTGCTTTTTGTTTTTTGAGTTTTTTGTTTTGTTTTGAGAAGTTTTTGCCTTAGAGTGCATGAGCTCACCGGAGAAAGGAGAAAGAGAGACAGAGATAGTGAGAGGGAAAGTGAGAAATCATCCCCCACGGAAGATGGCCATGCTGCAATCCATCCTCCTCTCAGGATCTTGGGCACTCACTCACATGCACCCAGCATGAGTTTTGAACCGCCAGGTCCAGGACTTGAATCCCGGTCAGCCATGTGGGAATCCAGTGATGTAACCTTCCTGCCATCTGCTGACCCAGACTTTTTGTCCTTTAACAGATCATGTAACTACACTTAAAAGGTAAAGTCACGCCTAAGATCCCCTCTCACATCGGTGGTGGAGCCAGCTGTGAACCTCAAAGCCCACTATGGGGGACTGACCCAAAGTTGTCCTTTTCAGTGCTGTGGCCTTGTGACACCCAGACACCAGTAACTGAGTGCAGGACACTGGCTCGTACTAGCTACCAATAAAGCGCTTCTGCTTTGCTTTGGATTTAACTAGCTTCCATAGCAGTGTGAACGCTGAACAAGCAAGAAATAAGAATGCTAAACTTTTGGGACCAGCAGTTAGCGTAATGGCTATGTCGTTGGACTCCCACGTAGTCGACCACGGTTCGCATCCCGGACTCGGTGGCTTAAACTCACGCCGGGCGCGTGTGCGTGCGTGCCCAAGATCCCGAGAGGAGAATGGAGGAGAAGGGATTGCGACGTGGCCATCCCCCCGGGGGGTGATTTCTCACTTTCTGTCTCTCTGTCTGGCAAGTGCACGCGCCCTATAGCAAAAACCTCTCCAAAAAAAAAAGAATGTTAAACTTTTATCTAATCTCCTTAGCCATGATGAAAGTTACTACCTTGTCTTGGACACCCTGTTATAAAATATACTGCTACATCAGATGTTTACATTAAGATATTCTATGTCTTAGTGTCAGAGGACTAGCAGGTGGAGTGATGGTTAAGGTATTGGACTCTCATGTGGTCAACAGTGGTTTGAATCCCAGACCCAGAATCATGAACTCTTGTCAGGCACTTCTGCATGCGTGCCCCAAATCCTGAGAGCAGACTGGAGAAGGGCTGCCTTGTGGTCATCTCCCCTGGGGGGGGGGATTTTTCACTTTTACTCTCTTATCTCTGTCTCTCTGGTAACTACACATGCCCTATAGCAAAAATCTCTTTAAAAAAAAGAGTCTTGGGAACCAGCAGTTAGCGTAATGGCTATGTCGCTGGACTCCTACGTAGTCGACCACGGTTCGCATCCCGGACCCGGTGACTTAAAACTCACACTGGGCACGTGTGCATGCGTGCCCAAGATCCTGAGAGAATGGAGAAGAAGGGATTGCGACATGACCATCCCCCCTGGGGGGTGATTTCTCGCTTTCTGTCTCTCTGTCTCTCTGTCTGTCTGGCGAGTGCACGCGCCCTATAGCGAAAACCTCTCCAAAAAAAAAAATAATAAAAATTAAACAAATTTAAAAAATAAAAGAGTCTAGGGGGGGCCAGTGGGTGGCGTGGTGGTTAAAATTAAAAAAAAAAGTCTACCAAGCTAAGTGGGGTCAGCCAGGTGGCATAGTGGTTAAGGTGGCTGGATTCCACATGACCGACTGTGTGGTTCAAGTCCTAGACCCAGCTTCAGAACTGTGCCCAAAATCCCAGGAGGGGAATGGAGAAGGGACACAATGTGCTCTCCCATTCTCTCCCCCTCTCCCTTTCTCCCCCTCCCCTGTTTCCGGCAAGTACTCAGACCCTGTGACAGATTTGAAATGAAAAAGCAGCTCAGCGTCTTACTGCTCTGACCCTGCCCTCTGCCTCCTTTAGGACAAGGTGGTGGTAAATGACCGGTGGGGCCAGAACTGTCCCTGTCACCACGGAGGGTACTACAACTGTCAAGACAAATTCAAGCCAGAGAGCTTGCCGGATCACAAGTGGGAGATGTGCACGAGCATCGACAAGATGTCCTGGGGCTACCGCCGCGACATGACCGTCAGCCACATTATGAACGAGTCTGAGATCATCTCGGTGAGGCCCGGCGTCGTCACGGGTTCTGTTTTAAGTTGTTGCCATAGAGCACATGCGCTCTCTGGACAGAGACAGAGACACTGGGAGAGAAAGCGAGAAATCACTCCCTGGGGGTATGGCCCTGCCACAGTCCCTTCTCCTCCATTCTCCTCCTGGAGTTCTGGGCACGCGCACAGGCACCTGGTGTGATTGTAAACCACCGGGTCCCGGACTCAGACCGCAGGCAGCCATGTGGGAGTCTAGCACCGTAACCACCACACCTGCCGGCCCCAGGTTTGCCATGTTTCAACCACAGCTCTCAAACCCCTTCTAACTGTGGGTGAGGAAGAGGTCTGGACACTGGTGCAGGCCGGTAGGCCCGCTCAGGGCTGTGGGCACCCTCACAGAGGCCTGTCCCGAGGAAGTAGCTCTGGCTGCAGAGCGTGTCATCCACAGAGGCGCTCCTCCCAGGACCGTTTTCAGTTGGGCATTTGGAGTGTTTCCATTTCTTGCAGCCATGAGGAGATGAGGTGGATTTAGGGATTTTCCTTAATGATTATAATGTCGATGAATGTAACGTGGATTAATGCTTAGATTGTTGGATGAAAAAATACATTATGTATTATTGCAACTCTATAAAATTAACTGCAGAAAGGGGCCAGCAGGTATTATAGTGGTTAAGGTACTGGAGTCCCACATGGCTGACTGCAGTTCGAGTCCCAGATCTGGTGGCTCAAAAATCACTCCTGGTGTGTAGCCTGGCCATCCCCCTGGGAGTGATTTCTCACTTTCCCTCTCATTCTCTCTCTCTCTAATATGCATACACACCCCGTGGCAAAAACCTTTAAAAGAAATTAACTACATAGGAAAAAGACTGGAAGAAGACCTTGAAAGTTAACAATGTGATGTCTTCTTTTTTTTTTTAGAGGTTTTCGCTATAGGGCGCGTGCGCTCGCCAGACAGACAGAGAGAGACAGAGAGACAGAAAGCAAGACATTATCCCCCAGGGGGGATGGTCACGCCGCAATCCCTTCTCCTCCATTCTCCTCTCGGGATCTTGGGCACGCATGCACACACGCCCGGCGTGAGTTTTAAGCCACTGGGTCCGGGACGCAAACTGCGGTCGACTACATGGGAGTCCAGCAACATAGCCATTACGCTAACTGCTGGTTCCCGCAATGTGATGTCTTCTAAAGTACCGTAATAAACTCTCTTGTATGTTCCGTCTATCACTTGTTTATCCGGACCTTGAAGTGTACTTGTTCTAGGCTGCTGTGAACCCATACACACCAATCCTGCTCCAAAAGTCTTGCAAAGAATTATTTATTTAATTTAATTTATTCAATCATTTGTTTTCATTTGAACAGAGAGGGCAAGTGAGAAAGCAAGCCATCAGGTTTGGGACTCGAACCGTGGTCGGCCATGTGGGAGTGTCCAGCACCTCAACCACCACACTAGCTGCTGGTCCCACAAAGACATCTCTTACAGCTGTTTTCACAGAGGGGCAATGGGTTCATTTTTTTCTTTTTTTAAGTAACCGATTCTCTCACTCCTTCTTTTGACAAAGGCAGGGAGCCCCAGCCTGAACCAGGCCCTTTCCCCGCCGGGTCCAGTGGCGTTGCCGCAGCCAGCGCCTGGCCCAGCGTGTGCATTGGCAGAGCCCGTCACGTGCAGGGCATCCTGGAGTCTCTCCATGTTCTAGCTCCCCCTCAGCAGCACCTGCCCCAGATCTCCCTCCTGGGACCCACTGTCTATGTCACTGCGTGTGAGGGCCCCACCACGCTCGACCAGGTGCCTTCCCTCTCCCTTCCCTGCTTACTCACAGGGGTACCCGGCGACCGCCCCGGAATTAGCCTTAACGTGTACCCCCATCTTAGAGCAAGAGTTTGGTTTGCTCTTCTGAGCCTGCCCTGCTTTTGTTGTTTTTAAGATTTTTAAAAAATGTTATTTATTATTAAGCCACCTGAAGAGTCATGATATACTTTTCTGTTTTTCTGTGCAGAAATGCTTCGTGACTTTTCTGATGACCCAATACTATTTTTTAAAGAATTATTTCATTTTACTTATTATTTTAATTCACCAGAGAGAGACAGAGACAGAGGGAAAGTGAGAAGGCAAGCCACCAGGTCCAGGACTCAAACCATGATTAGCCATGTGGGAGTCCAGCACCTTAACCACCACACCACTTGTTGGCTCCCAATATTATTGTTTTTTAATTTGACCAGAGAGAAAGGGAAAGTGAGAAAGCAAGCCACCAAGTCCAGGACTTGAACCGTGGTGAGCCATGTGGGAGTCCAGCACCTTAGCCACCACGCCACCGGCTGGCTCTCTGTCCTGCTTTTATGACAGACAAAGATAGTAAAAAGAAGTTCACGAAGCAGTGAGACTAAGCCTCGATCCTTTCTCCGCATAACCCCTGTGTGTTCCACCCCGCAGGAACTGGTTCAGACGGTAAGTCTGGGGGGCAATTACCTCCTGAACATCGGACCCACTAAAGATGGACTGATCATGCCCATCTTCCAAGAAAGGCTTCTCGCTGTTGGGAAGTGGCTGAGCATCAGTGGGGAGGCCATCTACGCCTCCAGACCGTGGAGGGTGCAGAAGGAGAACAACACAAAAGCTGTGTGGTGAGTCTCGTCCTCTGTAGGAGGGACAACGCGGTGGCCCGTCCTGAGCCCACATCTCTGTGGGTCTACAATGTTACAAGCCAGGTCAGAAGTCGCTTTGAGGAAACCCAAAAGTAAACACATTCTGCTACAAAACGTGTGCCCGGTTGGGCTGTGTCTTAGGCCACTTGGGTCTTTGGATCAAGGGAGTAACACTGACTAATCCCTCTGTTTATTTATTCATTCATCTGTGTGTTTGTTTAGCTATAAGGCTATGTAGACTCTCTGCAGAGATAGAGAGACAGAAAGCGAGAATCACCCCCTGGTGGGATGGCCATGCCACAGTCCCTTCTCCTCCATTCTCCTCTCAGGATTTTGGACATGCACGCACACACACACCCAGTGTGAGTTGTAAGCCGCCAGGTCTGAGACTTGAACCACAGTCGACTACGTGGGAGTCCAGCAATGTAACCATTACGCCATTAGCAGGTCCCACTTATCCGTGTTTTAGATGGATTTTTTTTTTCTACCAGAGGGCACGTGCTCAAGCCAAAATGGAAAAGGACAAAGCCCCCCGGAGGGCATGATCACACCACGATCCCGTCTGCATCGCTCCATAGCACATTTAGGGCGCATGCGCACATGAGCCCAGCAGGTTTTTCAAGCCACCAGGTCAGGCCTGAAGCCACGTAATCAGCCATGTGGGATCCAGCTGCCTTAACATTAGACCACAGAGCCAACCCTGGATGAGCTTCTATTCAGATTTGCATCCTCTTTTCTAAATGCGGAGAAATGTCAGAACAACGAATTTGTCTTTGCTGGATATCTTGCCTTTGTTACAGCCCCAGTTTTCTTCACTTGACTTTGGAGTTGTAAAACATTTTACAACTCCCATGTAGTCGACCGTGGTTCGAGTCCCGGACCCGGTGGCATAAACTCAAGCCGGGCGCATATGCGTGCGTGCCCAAGATCCCGAGAGGAGAATGGAGGAGAAAGGATTGCGCCATGGCTATTACCCCAGGGGGTGATTTCTCACTTTCTGTCTCTCTGTCTCTCTCTGTCTCTGGCGAGCGCATGCACCCTATAGCAAAAACCTCTCAAGACCCCATTAGCAAAAACCTCTCAAAAAAAAAAAAAAAAAAGAGAGAGAGAGAGAGGAGCGGGGGAATAGAAGATCTCCCCAGGAGTTGAACAGACACCTTCCTTCCTGCAGATCTGAGCTGGGATGGGGTCCCTAGTGCTTCCCAGTGGCAATGACAGACCAAAGCCTTGGACTTGGTAGACAGCGGGAGGGGACTGCATGACGCCACGTGCCAGGGTAGCGAGCCAGCCGTCTGTGACAGTGGTATTTTTTCCCCAGGTACACCTCAAAAGGACTAGCAGTTTATGCCATTTTTATGCATTGGCCAGAAAATGGAGTCTTGACTCTTGAGGCCCCCATAACCACCTCCACGACAAAGGTAAAGGGCTTTGATTGGTCCTTTCTTTCTTCCTCTCTCTCTCTCTCCTTCTTTTTTTCTTTCAGATTATTTATTTAACTTTATTTATTTATTTATTTTAATTTTAAAAAAGTGAGAAGAAAGGCAAGAAAGCAAGCCACCAGGTCTGGGCCTTTAACCGTGGTCACCCCTATGGGAATCTGGCACCTTTACCACCGCACCACCTGCCAGCCCCATGGGTCCTTTTCTAAGATGTCCCTTTTTCTTCTCTCTTTTAATTTGCCAGAGGGCATGTGCGCTTGCTGGAGAGAGAGAGTGAGAATGGAGGAAAGCAAGAAAGCACCCCCCTATAGGGAATGGTCACGCTGGGGTCCCTTCTCCTCCATCTTTCCATCCTGTCAGGATTTGGGGCACACACATGTGCCTGGTCTCTTTTTCAAGCCACTGAGTCCAGGACTCAAGCCACACAGCCATGTGGGATCCAGCCGCCCTAACCACCAGACCATAGGCTGACCCTAAGATGTGACTTTTTCTGAAGCAACCGTAGGCCTCCGCTTCTTCCTCCCCTCCCAGATTTCTCCCACGTCTACACCTCTGCTACCCTGACTTCCCTGTCAACCCGGCATGGTGGTTTCCTACCACATTCAGGCTATAACCTCTACCCATTGAGTAACGCATTACTGGTTTCTTCTGTCCCCACACGCCTGCTGCAGGTAACGATGCTCGGAGTCCAAGGACCGCTAAAGTGGACCGTAGGTCTGAAAGGAGGCCTCCTCGTCTCTCTGCCCCGGTGGGCCCCCTCTGCTCTCCCGGTGGAGTTTGCCTGGACTGTGAAGCTGACGGGAGTGAAGTAGCCATCGGAGGTGAAGGGGAGAAGAACACCTCTGCCGTACGCTGCTCTCGTTTTCCTCTTTCAGAACCATCACTGTAATAAACTAACTTCTCTTCCCTACTCAGGGGTGGCTTTTCCAACACACTGACATCAAAGGGACTTAGTGCCATCCACCGAGGTCTTGCTGGGTCAGAGATCCGAGGTCACCGGTAGCCTGTCCTTCCCTGTGAAAGGAGGGACTGAGCTCACCCATTCCTGTATTCAGGAAGCACCTGCAGGAGAAACTGCCATCCGGAGTTGATAACTACTGCTTATCAGGACTTTAAAACATAAGCCCAAGCACCTGCTGCCTGCCGGGGGAGGTGGGAAGGTTTGGCAAGCTGGTGTGGTTTCTCACCAAAGCTTCTCCCACAAAGGGCCGAGAGCCTGGAGGAGAGGGAACTGACCAGCTAGCCAGTGAAGGGTCAGCACCTCAGAAGTCCCCAGGCAAACTGAGAGCTCTGAAATTCACTCTGTTTACAGCGGAACTATTAAGACAATGTGACTCTTCCCTGGCTTTTAAACAGTGATCAAAAATAAATGTGTATGTCAAATGATTTCTAACAAAAAAGCATGTCACCACTTTATTTTCCTGGTTTCAATTTGGACTGCTTTTAGTTTTATGATGTTTCCAATTTGTGGTGCAGGAGGGAAACAGAAAATGCCAAGTTTCCTTATTTCTAATACTATTCTTCCGAGTTGAATGCCTGTTCAGTCTAACTAATTTGATCAAGTTTTTTGTAGCTTTTTTTATTGACTAGATATATTTAGAATACTTTATCATCACTTAAGAACTATGTTTTTCAGGACCAGCTGTTGGCATAATGGCTGTGTTGCTGGACTCCCATGTAGCTGACCACAGTTTGAGTCCCGGACCCGGCGGTTTAAACTCATGCCAGGCGCGTGTGTGTGCGTGCCCAAGAGCCCGAGAGGAGAAGGGATTGCAGCGTGACCATCCCCCCTGGGGGGTGATTTCTCACTTTCTGTCTCTCTGTCTCTCTCTGTCTTTCTGGCGAGCGCATGCGCCCTATAGGAAAAAAAAAAAATGGAAAGTAAAGAAGCAGAATACAATCAATACCCACGGGTCTGAAAGGACGAGAAAACACCAAATGGCGGTGACGCCGGTGCAATGGCAGGGTTCGGAGGCCCCCGGGGCCCTGGGGTAGGAAACAAGGTGGCTTCTATGGGAGGTTCGGTGGTAGCTGCAATGGGCCCGGGCCACCGCAGAGCTCATGGAGACAAGGCCGAGGGTAAGGATGGATCCCGGTCACCGAGCTGGCGTAATAGCTATGTCGCTGGATTCCCATGTAGTCAGCGGCGGTCTGCGGCTGGAACCTGGAGGCTTAAAACTCACACCAGGTTCATGTGCATGGGTGCCCAAAATCCCCAGGGGAGAATAGAGGAGAAGGGATTGTAGCGTGGCCATCCCCCCTGGGGGGGGTGGTGATTTCTTGCTTTCTGTCTCTTTGGTGAGCACGCCCGCTATAGCAAAACTCTCTTAAAAAAAAAAAAGGGGACCAGCAGTTGGCATAATGGCTATGTCGCTGGACTCCCATGTAGTCAACCACGGTTTGAGTCCCGGACCCGGTGGCTTAAAACTCACACAGGGCGCGTGTGCGTGCGTGCCCAAAATCCTGAGAGGAGAATGGAGGAGAAGGGATTGCAGCGTGGCCATCCCCCCTGGGGGGTTATTTCTCGCTTTGTGTCTCTCTGTCTGTCTCTCTGTCTGTCTGGCGAGCGTACGCGCCCTATAGCGAAAACCTCAAAAAAAAAAGGGAGCAAGGATGAAGCAAAACTGTCACTGTTCTCCAGGGATGTAACCGTCCACATAAAAAAATCAAAGATTGTGAGAATGATCAGAATAAGATATTTTTTCTTGTTGGATCAATAAACAAAAATCAATTGCATGTCTACAGTCTAGAAACTAGAAAATGACAAAATCTCGTTTACCACAACAACAAAAGATACAAAGTATCCAAAGTAAAATTAGTAGACTGCGCAACATTTCCCACCCAGGTTTCCCGCCGGAAAGGGATGCAGGTGCGACAAGATGCAGGACCCAGGGCAGTTTCTGGATTCAGCATCGCTGACAGTATGGACCATCTGCAAGTTCTGATAAGTGACCATGACAAGATGCAACTCCTGCCAAAATACGGGACCCACATGGAACCCGAATCTTAAACTTTCCAGAGGAAGATTTGGGGGCGTGAGTCCAGGACTTCAATATCACATTCGACATCTCAGGGAAGTTAGTGCTCCTCTTACCCCTGAGTGGCTGCTAAGAAAATTAGAAGGTCCAGCTCATAAAATTGGGTCCCAAAATATGTCCCCAGCTCTTAAACCCTCAGTGTTGGCGTTCAGCATTGGAATGAAGCAGCCGATACGTTTGAGCCCGGGATGGTTCCAGTAGAGACAGATATGTCCAGCTCCTACAAAATCAAGTCCCAAACTGTGTCCCCAACTCTGGGACTCCAGATTGCATCTACCGTCTGGAGTAGATCTGTACTGTTAGACACGGTTCTGGATTTCAGGGCAGTTGGTGGCCAACTCCCCACACGAGAGATTCCCCAAGATGTGGGTTCCTTCTAGCTCCCTGATCAGGTGAAACAGCTCCACGGCGATGTCCAGGATGGTCCACTGTGAAGACGTGTGGATGACCCCCTTACAAATGGGGGTTCAAGGTGTGTCCCCAACTCTTAAACTTTCCAGATTATATCAAATGTCTCTAGTAAACCTGCATGCAGTAAACCCATTTTTGGAGAATCTTTCTCAGTGGAGAGAGTAAATTGAACACCCTCAGCTAAAATGTCTACAGTAATTCAGTGTTGAGATGACCAGGAGAGGCCTCAGGGATTTTGTATTGAAGAGGAAGAGTAAATTGACCTCATTGCAAATTGAGGCCCAAAGTGGTTTCAACGGGGGGCCTGGGAAGTCACCTAATCCCATTTGTCATGAAATCCTAGTGTGACAAATTATTTTTGTACTGTGCTTACTTTTTTCTAAAGAATTATTTTATTTAACTTTATTTATTTCATTTTCATTTGACCAGAGAGGGACAGAGCAAGAGACAGAAAGAGGAGGAAAGTGAAGAAGCAACCTGCCAGGTCCGGGATTTGAACCACGGTTGGCCATGTGGGCACTGTGCTTATTTTAGGAAGCTGTCAAAGATGGCTCCTATGCTCTATTTATTGGCTAGAAATTTCCAGCTGAGGTTCCTAAAGGTGGGCAGTCCTGCCACAGTGGCCACCTAGGGACCTGAGATGCTCCTAAGGAGACCTTGTCCAGGCTCCAGGCCCTGTCCTTGCAGAGACTTCCTTGGCTGTAGATCTGGAGGCCAACCTCCGTGAGGCAGAAAGGCTGACTGGGTCTCGGAGGCCCAAGGGACCCCACTGTCAGTTATCTTGGGGACTTCCCTGCTCTTATTTAACCGTGTTTTTCCCTTTATAAAAAATAGCTTGGATGGGCCCAGCAGTTACGTAAGGGCTACGTCACTGGACTCCCACATAGTTGACCGTGGCTCGAGTCCCAGACCCGGTGGCTTAAACTCACGCCAGGCGCATGTGCGTGTGTGCCCTGGGGGGTGATTTCTCCCTTTCTGTCTCTCTGTCTCTGTCTTTCTGGCAAGTGCACATTCCCTATAGCAAAAACCTCTCAAAACAAAACAAAACAAACAAAAAATCAACTTGGGGCCATCTCTGTGGCCTCGTTGTTAAAGCAGGTGGATCCGAGGCTCAGGTCATGGGCGGCAGGGTCAGCCAACCCGAGGGGCCCTATGGCTA